ATTCTTTATTGCAAAAACTATGTAATTATTTAAGATCTGCTTTTCTTTTTCCATTACATCGTAAGGTTCATCAGGACAGGAATAATCTCTTTCTTGATCATGGCTGTCACTCCAGTGCCTGATACATAGCATGTGTAGATACATGTAGGTAGAGTGAGGGGATGAGAAACCTACCTGCTGAAGCCTGAATGCCACCTCTTAGTGGTGTAGTCTTAGACAGAGCAGCTTCTCTGAACCTGTGTCCTGTACACCAGTGGCCTTGCCCAGGATTGTGAGCATTTGAAATGAGATACTGTAATGAGGTGCTTTGTAAAAGTGTAAAATGCCACATAAATATAAGTGCAGTAGCAATAATTTCAGTAGTGGGGTTACCCAATAGGAAGCTTTGATGTGATTTGAAATAAGAATTTATAATTAAAGTCTCAGGTTTACTGAGTTGGTAGATAGCTATTCAATTATTTAATGTTTATTATAAATTTAAACTTTATGTATTAGTTAGAACACAGGTTGAGCCTGCGTTCTGACTAAATGCAGTGGCTTGAATGAGAAATTTATTTCTCATATAACAACAGGATAAGTGTAAATAATCAAAGACTGATATGGTGGCTTCATGGTATGGGGGACCTTGGTTCCTTCTATCTTGTTGCTTTTCTATGCTTAAGAAGTTATTATCCTCTGTATAGTACAAGACAGCTCCCCACTACAGTCCAGAAACAGGATGTGGGGAAGTTGAGGGTGAGGGAGCCGTATTTCCTCCCAGTTTGCATACATGGCTTCTGCTCACGCTGTATTGGTCAGAACTTAGTCATATGGTCACATTTAGCTACAAGGAGGCTGGAATATGTGGGCTTTGGTAGGGTGACTGTATTTGACTGAAAATCTGTTTCTATTGAAGAAGGGGAGAATGGGGGGCAATGAAAATTGCCTACCACACTTTCAAATGTTTTGGAAGAAACTATTTCACAAATAAACTTTCAAAAGATAATTTATTGTACTAATTAATACATTTTATTTTCTACATTTGATCATTAATCTTTTTAACTGCGATATTTGAATTCAGATAATTCATCAGTTGTGCAATATATACGTATGTAGTCAGTTTAGGAAAAAATGTAGCTATTCTTTTAGTAGTGAAGGGATTTTTGGTCTACTTGCACATTATTTTTCTGACACCTTATTTTCTGATAGGAACGTGATTCTTGATTGCTTTGGTTATATTGTATATAAACTGTTTAGAATCTAAGGTTTTGATTCATCTTAATAGTTTTCTGGACCGTATTGTTTGTATTCCTCCTTATATGCTCGGCAGACAATACTAGAATATCACTTGAGTTTTGTCAGCATTTCAGCAAATGTTTGAGTCACTGAATGTTGCAAGAAGGATCATAGCAGGGATGTTTAAAAATACATTTACTATCCAGTATCTTCCTTTTTAATTTCTGTGGGCTTGAGAAAAGGGAAAATTTAGGATTCCTTTGAAGTGTATAGTATTATTAAATCTGGTAGGAACTTGAGAAACAAGTGGTTCTCAAACAGACTTTTGGAGAGCTTGTCAGAATTATGCCATTCCCAAGCTCAGGCACTTTTCTTTCTGTAGGTTTAGCGTGGTGCCTTGGAATCTGCAGCTAATCCTGATGAAGTTTAAAAAAAAAAAAAATTTTAGGCAACACTGATATAGTTCATTTCCCTCATTTTAAAGAAAAATGGATACAGAGAAGCCAAATAACCTGGGAATAAGCTGACCTGGGACTGCTGTTAGTTTTCCTGACTCCTGAGTCATCCTTCTTTCTACAAAGAGGGGTAGAGGATGAGGAGTATAAGGTGCATTGGGATTTTGTAGGGTTATCTGTTATTCTAAAATATGTTGTTTTTATGTGCAAGGTCATTTTTAGTGAATAGTTGGCACACTTAATTGTCCATTTAGTTTTAATAGAGTAAATAGTCTGAATTAGTCAAATAAATGTTTAAGGTGAGAAGTTGTTTTGAGTAAATTAAGTGTTATGAGTGTCAGTACTGGTGTGGGCGGCACATATATATCTTTAGGGTAGATGGATGGGTAGATGCTCATGTGGCATGCTTAGAAGGAACAAAGGGTGGTCTTGTCCCAAAGTTATTACTTTCCTTCTTATCTTGTTGCTTGCAGTTCTCACTGTTTTAATTCATTCCTTTAGATTAAGGGAAGATCTGGAATCTAATATAAAATGGAAATATTCCTGGAAGAATATTTTTTATCTGTTATCAGGTTAACACTTTAATTATTGTCAGTTAGCTGGCTGTCATGTTAAAAATCAGAGATTAGCACCTGCACTAAGAAGAAAGAACTTTTGGGAAGGGGAAGAGAAGAGTATGGCACAAATGCCCTAGCCTGAGGAAAGGAAGGGTGTGTTTCAGAGTTGTCAGCTTGTGATATGGTGCTGGAGAGGTTCATGTGAGGCTCTCTGGTGACTGAGAGGGTATTGTAGGGGGACTCTAGATAATTTTGTCTGAGACTAACTAACCTGGAGGTAGCTATGGGACTAGAGAGAGTATCCGTTTTTCTTGGTGCTTTATCCGTTTACTGGTTGCTGTGGGGTCTGCTCTGACTAGTGGTGACCCCGTGAGTGTTAGAGTAGAACTGCGCTCCATAGGATTTTCAGTGGCTGATTTTCCAAGGTGCCTCTGGGTGGACTTGAACCTCTAACTTTTTGGTTAGTAGCTGAGTGGGTTAACTCTTTGTACCACTCAGGGACTCCATTACCTGTTCAGGGCTTGTATTTGAGCAGCCTTACAACATATCAAGTAACTAAAGATCTAGTCATCTAGGGAATTTTAGTTTTTTTCTCCTAGATTTTATTTATTTTGTTGTTAAGAATACACACAGCAAAACATACACCAATTCAACCGTTTCTGCGTGTACAGTTCAGAGACACTGACGACATTCTTCAACCATTCTCAGCCTCCTTTTCTGAGTTGGTCCTCCCTCGTTTACATAAACTCGCTGCCCCCTAAGGTTCCCATCTGATCTTTCAAGTTGCTATTGTCAGTTTGATCCCATATAGATAGTTCTTGAAAAAGCATAATGTTGAAGGCAGACCATTTTTACTAAAACTAAACTATTGTTTGATTTTAAGATGACTTCAGGGGATGTTTTTGGTTTAAGATTATGCCAGGGCAGTAGTTTCAGGGGTTCATCCACCCTTAATGATTCCAGAAATTCTGGAGTCTGTAAGAATTTGAAGGTTCTGTATTTTCCTCGTTTTGATTAGAATTCTTCTGGGGAATCTTTGGTCAAAATCTTCAGTAATAATAGCCAGGCACCATCCATTTCTTTTGGTCTCATGGCAGAGGAGGCAGTTGTTCATGGAGGCAGTTAGCCACACATTCCATATCCTCCTCCTATTCCTGACTCTCTGTCCTTTGTTGCTCCAGTTGAATAGAGACCAGTTATTGTGCTTTGGGTGGCCAGTTGCAGGCGTTTAAGACTCTAGGCACTATGCAGCGAACTAGGAGGTAGAATAGAAGCACTAAACACGTTATTAGGCCCGTTGACTGGAATATCCCATGAAACCATGACCCTAAACCTCCAAACCAAGTAACCAAATCCCATGAGGTGTTTGGTTGTGCATAAGCAGCCTCAGTAGTTACCCCCCACTTTTTTTTGCTGTTGTAAATAGATCTGTCACGTAACTTTTTACATATGTAAAACTTACATTGACAGCAGTGATAGTAATCAGCTGTGCAGCCCTACCCTTAATCAGTGCAATATTTCTATCAAAATACATTTGCCTTTTCTTGTTTTTTTACGTAAGTGAGGTCATGCAGTATTTGTCCTTTTGTGATTGGCTTATTGCACTCAGTGTAATGTCTTCAGGTTCCTTCTATAACGTAGCATGTATCAAGACTTCATTCTCTTGTTAGTTGAGTAGTATTCCGTTGTGTGGATGTACCAGACTTTGTTTATCTATTCAACTGTTAACGGGCATTGAGATTGTTTCCACTTTTTGGCTATTGTGAATAGTGCTGCAGTGAACATTGGTTACAAGTCTCTTTGAGTCTCCACTTTCAAGTCTTTTGGGTATATACCTAGGAATGGAATTGCTGGGTCATATGTAGTTCCATTTTTAGTTTTTGAGGAACCACCACACTGTTTTCCACAATGGCTGTATCATTTTCCATTCCCACCGGGAGTGGGTAAGGGATTCCAATTTCCCCACATCCTCGCCAACATTTGTTATTTTCTGTTTTGCTTTATCTTAGCCATCCTAGTGGGAGTGAAATGGTATCTCACTGTGGTTTTAATTTGCATCTCTCTGTTGGCTAATGATGCTGAGTCTCTTTTAGGGAATTTTAGTTCTTAAAAATCAACAAGGAATATATATTTATGGTTTAGAAAAAAAAATTCAAGCCCTATAGAAGGGTGGCAAATCACCATCCCTTCCCATGCCCCACAGATAATAACTGCTCAGTTTTTCCTATCAGAAATGTGCTGTGTATTTATACGTACAATTACGTTATTTTACTTCTACATATATGTAAATGTGTTGCAAAACCCTCTTTAATGTGATCTCGTTCATTTTTTGTTTTTAAGCACATAGGCATTGTGATGTGTGTGTGTACACCCACAAAACCCATACCTGTAAAGTAAAAGAAAGATGGATCGTACTAAACATACAGTTTTGCAGTGTAAGATTGTTTTTACTTGCTCTAAGAAGTATTTTCCTGTCAGCTTGTAGAGCTTCCCATTATTTTTAATAGTTGGAAAGTATTCTGTTTCATGGATGTACCACCATTTATTTAGCCAGTCTCCATTAAATTGTTTTCATATTTTAAATAATGCTGCAGTGTACATCTTTGTAGTGAGCCCTGGTGGTGCAGTGGTTAAGTGCTCAGCGGCCAACCAGTAGTAGGTCAGCGGTTTGAACTCATAAGCTGCTCTGCGGAAGAAGATGTGGCAGCTTGCTTCCGTAAAGATTTACATACAGCCTTAGAAACCCCATGCGGCAGTTTTACCCTGCCCTATAGGGTCGCTGTGATACAGAATCAACTGTACGGCAGAGGGTTTGGTTTTTTGGTCTGGTCTGCATCTTAATCCCCAGCACCTGTGAATATGAATACTTGTACGGGTTTTGGGTGGGTACATCTTTGTACATATAAGGTGTATTTCTGTGAACATTAACCATAGGATATATGTTTAGAAGGGAATTGCTGGTTCATGAGATAGATGCATTAAATATTTGAATGTATTGCTAAATTGCCTTCCAAAAAGTAACACCAGTTTGTACTTTGACAAGAAGTGAAAGCAGTGAGAGTGCAGTTTCCTAAACTCTTGTAAACTTTCTCAATTTTTATCAATTTGGTTGGTGACTAATGACATTTAATTGTTTGGATATGCATTTCTTTAGTTATGGGTGAGTTTGAACATCTTATTTAAGTTGTATTATAAGTCTTGTATTTTAAATAACAAAACGTTCGTTTTTTGTCAAATACATGTAGTTAAAAGATATTTTGATCTTCTTTTATTCTTTTAAATGAAGGACTGTGTTGATAAATTGTAAATGTCTGTAGGAAAAGGCATTCTTATATCTCTCCAATTAAGTGAGCATTTGCATGTCCTCTGTATAAGAGATGTGAGTCATAGTGGTAGAGGCTTTTGACTACAAAAATGAGTAAGGTTTGGTTACCTCTGCTTTTAGGGTTGAGATAGATGTGTGTACGTAGACAAGAATAACTGACAAGACCATGGCTGCTAACAGAGGTATTAACATGTGAAGACCTAGAAGAGCACAGGAAAGGAAGACAGTTGCCAGTGCTTTGTGGAGGAGATGGGATGGGACAAGATCTTTGTCAGTAAAAAACAGGTAGGATTTTTATAGTAGAGCCTGGGGAATTGACAGTCCTGAGGAGGAGATCATGTGGGCAACCTGGGGTGGTTGGGGAAATGAAGGTTGACTTTGGAAAACAGCAGAGTCCTGTGTCTGAAGTATAGAGGGTGTGTGACAGGTGTGTGTTTGGTGTGCTGGGGGAGGTATAGGGACAATTGTAGTGGGAAATGAGAGTGATAGGCCTTAAATAGTAGAGGGAATTTGAATTTGGGGGTGGTTGAAGGTTTTCAGGCATGGGGATGATGATAGGTCTGTGGGTTAGGAAGATGACACTGTAAGAAGCAGGGCTTGGAAGCAGGAAGGCAAGGCCATTCTAGGTATCCAGGAATGAGAGATTAGAAGAGGTAAAAAGTAGAAAACAGGTGGGAGAGCCAAGTTTGTAATACCTTAAAAAGATTCTTAACTATTGTTTAATTTTCAGCGGAGCAAAGTGAGTACTTCTGGATTCAAACAGTAATTTACCCAGCTTTTGGAGATAGAAAGAAGGGAATTAAACTTTGGTGACATAATGTAGTAAACGGTTCTAAAAGTGGACTGATAGGTTTAATGGGGCAATTGAGAAATTTCCTGCTGAGGACCTGAAGGAATTGTTGAGAAACAGAAGAAAGAATTATTAATGTAGTTCAAACCTTCAGTTAGGGACAGATGGAGATAATTTGCAGCACCCCTAAGGATGAGCTGAAAAATGGGAAAGTGGGAAAAGGCAACGTTAGAAGCTATGAAATCTGGAAAGGAAATAGTTGTATCATAATTTTACTGTTTGAAAAGTGTCTAGTAGTTGAATATATGAACAGTTTATTATGAGTGTCTTCATATTTTCCTGAAAGAAATATGTTCTATTTATTTTCGTATGTATCCTAATTGCGAGACAGACCATTTAAAAAGCATTGCATCTTGTAGGGTGGTAGAATTATTTATTGAACACTTACTAGTTCCAGACATGGTACTGGAGCCTGGGAATCTCTGCTGAATAAAAGCTGCTGTAGTCTTTGCCTTCATGGAAGTTATGTTCTGGTGGGGGGAACTGTAAAAGTCACTCAAGTAGATCTAAGGACTCCGTCTAATATAGACATAAATTAAATTTTGCTTAAAGGGAACTTAGAGTCTATGAAATGGAGTAATTTTTGATGTTGCTTTTTGAAGGTCAAAAGAGTTTTGTCTCATTTTAGAGCGTTTTTGACAGTTAATTTTGAGTTAAAATTTATTTATTTATAAGTAGGACTGCAGTCCTTAAGACAGATATTGTCTTCCGGAAAACTTGTTCTGATTTGATCATTTTCCCTTGGAAAGAACAGTTGTCACCACAGTAGTGGTTTTTACCTTATCTTTACGCCACACACATTCATTATTGAGAGACTTTACTTCTGTAGTACAAGAGCTTGTTTCATAAAAGTTTTTCAAAATAGGAATGGTAAGAAGATTAATAGAATCTCATTGAATATTTTACAGTCTTAATTTTTTTGCATTTCCCTATGATGGTTCTGTAGGATATCCCAAATTGTCAGTAAAGATAGGTAAATTTACCTAGGAGTTGGGCTGAAGGCCTGCAGTTACTCAGCAGTATTACAGTAAGCTATGCAGAGGGAAGAGATTGAAGACAGGACTCTCAGGATTCATGGAAGACACAGTTTGGAGGAAGGCAATTTGCTGATTAAGACAAAGTTATTGATATCTAAGAAAGGGTGTGGGCATACAGGGAAGATGAGAGGAATAAGGAAAGTTGGCTTAAGTGGGCAGAAATGGATGAGTGATTTGAGCAGATATATGAAGAAGAATTCTCTATTCTTTAAAAAACAAACTCTTCAGAGGTTTATTGTGACTCTTAGGGTAGAGATCAGACTAGTCACAGGGCCTGTAAGTCCCCCTATCCAGATGACCTGGCCCTGGCTTCCTTATGCAGTCTCATCTCATGGGTGTCTGGATCATGGAACTACCCTGGTTCAGGGTTTCGCACATGCTGCTTCATTGGCCTGGGATCATCCCTTCCCACCTTTAGTTAACTTCTTTCTGTTACAGTTTCAGCTTGGGTGTCACTTTGGCAGGGAAGCCTTCTCCCTCCCTGCCCCTGTTCACCCTAACTACTTTTAAAATCTCATGCCTCCTGGTACTTTTCCTTCATAATGCCTGTCCTGTCATAGTTGGCAGTTTATTTAGTGCTTATTTGATTAATGTTCTTCAGAGAGGAGGGGCAGTAGTGTTTTGCCCTGCTTGCGATTTCAAGGGTTTTCAGGGTGTTTGGCACTAAATAAACGTGTTGAATGGATCAATGAACTATGCATTTTGGTCTTTACTAGTTGGTCTCAAGGACCAAGGGACTATAGCAGGGGATGGTGTGCATTTGGAGTAAGAGCTGAACAGGGAGCATGGGAGCCTTAAGGAAGAAGAAAAAGGGGAAGCTTTTTAAAAATAGGATTGCAAAGGTCTATGTATGTAGTCAGGAGAAAGATTTATTTATTCATGGATTAACTAAAAATATGCATAATAAAAGCTTACTATACACTGGGCACAGAGCTGGAATAGGGACCAGAAAGAATGTGCCTTCTGTGTTAAAGGAGTATGTAATTTTAGTAGTTTATTGAAATTGATACAGCCCTTAGTGGTCATTTAGAGGAATTTTAAATTGTGGAGAAGAGTCAGCCTGGATAGTCTTCACTATTCCTAGCCAACAGACTGAAGTTCTTTCAACAATTATATCTTGAATGTAAATTAAGCATTTGTAAGACCTGTCAGGTTCACATTTAAAATAAGATCCAGCTTTGACTTCGTTTTAAAAGTGACAGAAACGTGAAGAAAGTAGCTCGTTTGGATGATTTTGGCTTCAACTTCAAGTTTGGATGACAGAACGAGAAGGGTGATTGAAGGAAAGTTCATTGTACGGAAGTTTTCAAAAGTGAGTTTTGTAGTTAGAAAATTGTTGAAGGTATTGATTTTGTCAGATACATGAGTTTTTTTTTCTTTTTAGGTTTATAAGGGATTTGTTTCAATGTAGTTCTGTAACTTTTTTCAGTGACTAGTTTGTCTAGTAAATACTTTGTAAAATAAATACCGTTCAGATAGTTTATTGGTCTCCCTTCTGTGCCAGGCCCCATGCTAGGCCCTTGGGACATAGTAAAAATCAAAGGGACATGCTTGGTCCCTGCCCTCATGAAGCTTTTCAGTAGAGTCACAGCTCACTGGAGAGAAATGTGAAGGAAACATGGCTGAGGGCAAGGCCAGCTCTTTATTTACCTATTTATGTGTTTACTTCTGTTTTTTCTTGAAAGTAGTTTTGGTGGCAACATTTTAGACTACTTTAAGCTACTTGTTGCTTTATCTGTTACAAGACAGAGGATAAGGAGGATAACATTTATAATACCCAGGTAAAATAAAAGCTTGGCTCTTCAGCCTGTTGGCAGATTTTTAAAAAAGAAATGTCCATGTAAATCAGTGAGTTTCTCCCCTTAAAAAATAATCTACTATTCAATAACAGTAACAGTAAAAACCAGTTGCTGTCGAGTCGTTTCTGACGGATGGTGACCCCATGTGTGTCAGGGTAGAACTGTGCTCCATAGGGTTTTCAGTGGCTGATTTTTCAGAAGTAGATTGCCAGGCCTTTTAGCTACTATTAATAGATTGTTTGCTACGGACCAGGCACTGTACAGATTGATTATTAGTTATTTTAATATTCTCAGCAACTATACAGGGTAGTTGGTAGTATCCTTTTTTATAAGTTAGAAAACTGAGATGCAGGGAAATAAATTTGCTTCAGGTTAATTGGTAGTAGGTTGCATATATTGTCTCCAGATAAAAAAAGCCTAGTGAAAAGCCTAAACCAAACCAAACCTAAACCTATTGCCGTAAGGTTGATTCCGACTCGTAACGACCCCTAAAATTAAACATTCAGAGAAAAAAGAAAAATGTAGAGCTTCTGTGTGACCCATTAATTGAACTAGGTGAAAGTTCTGGTATGCTGGGTTTGCAGCCTTGTGTTACTGGTTCATTAGTCTTTGGATGATAAGCAAGAAAACGTAGCAGCTTCCTGTGTTTGGGAAATTCTCTACCTTAGTGTTGGTGGAAGGTAGAGAGATCTTCCTCTGTGGAAACCAGATGCTCACTTTCCTCTTGTCTTTTGCAGTTAGAATACAGGCATGTGACCTAGGTCTGCCCCTCCTGCTGGTGCCTTACTGAGTCAGAAGCCGGAGATTCGCAGAAGCAGGCACTTGTATGTTCTGCAGTGCGAGGGGAATGGCAGCTACATCTGTTTTCCAGAGGCGGCAGTGACAGCGATTCCAGTTGTAGCATTCATGTAGTTTCTGGTGTCACTGGTTATCAGTTCAAGTTGCAGTGACTGAGTCCTGTGTTGTCTCCCTTGGACAAGATCTGTGGTTTGCTTTTTGAGTGTTTTGGACTACATAGCCTTCCAACCTGAGCCTCCTGGGATTTTCTGTGAGTTGCCTCATATGTTTTAATAACTTCCTTTTCAGCTTAAACAAAGCCAGAGTTAGTTTCTTTTGTTTGCAACTAAGAACCTTTGCTTGGATGATGCTACTTAAAATAAGATGATTCTCAGGAATTAATTTTCTAGGCCCAGTATTACCTGCATCTAGATCAGAGTTTACTTATGGGAAGAGTGTGCAGTATATGTTAAGTGAAATACATATAAAACAGTTTGTTTATTGATTTAATTAATTTGCTGAATTTGAGTGTATTTTCTAGGCCAGGATACCTTCTAGGTGTAAGAGATATGGGAGTGATGAGATAGACAAGATCCCTGCACTCATGGAGCTTATGTTTTGTAATATTTAGAATGAATAAGAGAGCAAATAACGTAATTACAAAGGGTGATAAATGTCATGATAAAGGCAAAGATAGGATAATGGGATAATGATCTATGTATGTGTAGGGGTGGGTGAATATATGTATGCTTTATAAGTATTTAGTTTAGAAAACACAGTAATACATGGAACAATTGTTTTCAGATACTGAATAATGAGCAGCACGGGACTGTGATCCCTGACAGACAGGAAATGTAGGAGGTGAGTCCTGTGATGGCCCAGCTTTCTGCCTGGAGGCAGTTTTCAGACCTCAGTGCAAGGAGGAGGATCCTGAACAGAGCTAGGTTGAGGAAACAAAGATTGAGCTGGGGGTGGCCAAGGTAGTCCTAATTCATGGAGCAGAATTCTGGAGATGAGGGGGCTATACAGAGAAAACAAAAAACCAAGCTGTTGCCGTTGAGTTGATTCCAACTCATGGCAACCACATGTGTTACAGAGTAGAACTGTTTGGTGAGTTTTCTTGGCTGTAGTCTTTACAGAAGCAGATTGCCAGGCCTTTCTTTTGTGGTGTCACTGGGTGGGCTTAAATTGCCAACCTTTCAGTTATTAGTTGAGCACAACTTGCTTGTGCTGCTCAGGGAGCTTATGCAGAGAAAGAATTCCATAAACCTTTGTTGTGGTCCCCTTAAGTGTTTGACTGAATACCAGTCTGCACATGTATAGGGTGCAGCTTTATAAAGGAACAATTTCTGGAGAAAGAAATTCCTGGGAACATGTAAACAGAATAGTTCTTAGAGCTCATACAGGGCTGAGAATTATTTGAGTACCTTATAGCCAGAGTGGGAAGACCACATTAAATACAAGGTCTCATTGAGACCCCAAAAAAGTCATACCTTAGTGGTGGGGATAAACTAGTCCTAAAGTAAAGGCTACTCTAGATGTGTCTGGAAAAAGCTTAAAAACAAGCCTTGAAAGGAGCAAATTAATGTGAAACTAATATAATTGCTTGCCATTACAAAGTCCTGCATTCTTTAAAGGAATATAACAAAATCCAACACTCAGTAATATAAAATGCCCAGCATCCAATTAAAAAATTACTATATTTTTCTTTTTTTTTTTTTACTAAGAAGCAGGATAATGTGATTCATAATTAGGAAATCAGTCAACTGAAAACAACCCAGAATTGACACAGAAGTTGAAATTAGCAGACAAGGACATTAAAGCAGTTATTCTAATTATGTTCCCTATGTTCAGAAAGTTGGCAGAGACATGGAAGGTATTAAAAAGACCCAAACCAAACTCTTAGAAGTGAGAATGACAATATGTAAGATAAAAACATGTACTAAATGGCATTAATGACTACATATTGCAGAAAAAAAGATTAGTGAGCTTGAAGACATAACAAGAGAAAACTGAGCCAAGAGAAACAGATGGAAATGATAGATAATGGGATTATCAGATAAGGTGGTTAAAATGGCTACTTTAAAAGGCAGGATCAGGTTGTGGTTAGTGTTGTCATTTTACTACATGAATTTAGCTTTAAAAAAAAAAAAAGAAAGGATAATTGTTATACTGCCTGAAGTCTAGGAGTCCCTGGGTGGCACAAATGGTTAAGCACTTGACTACTAACTGAAAGGTTGGTGGTTCGAACCCACCCAGAGGCTTCTTGGAAGACAGGCCTGGTGATCCTGCTTCTGAAAGATCACAGCCTTGAAAACCCTGTTTTCTACTCTGCCTACATGGAGTGCTGTGATTCAGAATCAACTTGACAGCAACCAACAACAACAACAGTGCCTGAAGTCAGCTTGTTAAGTAGTTGGTAGTTGAAAAATCCATATTTCAGCAGCGCAGCAGGGTATGGTGGAAGAACTTTATTGTACAACAGTGTATTAGTTGTCTCGGCTAGGTAACAGCATTACCACAAATTTAGCAGCTTAAAACAACATGTATTTATTATCTCACAGTTTCTGTTGGTCAGAAGTCTGGGCACAATTTACAACTTAGCTGGGTCCTCTGTCTTAGGAGCTCAGAAGGCTGAGATTTTGGCTGGGGCTTGGTCTCATCTGAGGCTCAGCTGGGGTAAGGTGTCTTCCAAGATCACGTGGTTGTTGGCAGCATTCAGTTCCTTGTGGACTATAGGTTTGAGGACCTCAGTTTCTTGCCCTGCCTATCATGTGGGATCTGTGTTTAGTTTGTTGCCATGTGGGCTTTTCCGACATGGCCACTCACTTTCTCAAAGCAGCAAGTAAGAGAGTCTCCTTGCAAGGCAGGTATACAGTCTTAATGTTTCATAATTGTGGAAGTAACTTCTCATCATCTTTGCTGTCTTCTGTTGGTTAAAAACAAGTCACTTGTCCTGTCCACACTCAAGGGGGAGGGCCTACATATAGGCATGAACACACCAGGAGGTGGGAATCATGGGAGCTGCCTTAGAGACTTCTCTACAAGTAGTGTTGTATAGTGGTGGTTGTTGTTAAGTGCTATTGAGTTGGTGCCAGCTCATAGCGACCCTGTGTAAAACAGAAGGAAACACTGCCCAGTCCTACGCCATTCTCACGATTGTTGCTATGTTTGAGCCCATTGTTACAGCCACTGTGTCAGTTCTTCAGTCTCTTTATTCATTGTCCAGCTTTTGCATGCATATTAGGTGATTGAAAATACCATGGCTTGGGTCAGCCGCACCTTAGTCCTCAAGATGACATCTTTGCTTTTTAACACTTTGAAGAGGTCTTTTGCAGCAGATTTGCCCAGTGCAATAAGTTGTTTGATTTCTTGACTGCTGCTTCCATGAGCGTTGATTGTGGATCCAGGTAAAATGAAATCCTTGACAACTTCAATATTTTCTCCTTTTATCATGATATTGCCTATTGGTCCAGTTGTAAGGATTTGTGTTTTCTTTATGTTGATGTATAATCTGTACTGAAGGTTGTAATCTTTGATCTTCATCAGTAAGTACTTCAAGTTCTCTTTGCTTTCAGCAAGCAAGATTTTGTCATCTGCATATTGCAGTTTGTTAATAAGTCTTCCTCCAATCCTGATACCCCGTTCCTCTTCATATAGCCTAGCTTCTTGGATATTTGCTCAGCGTACAGATTGAACAGGTATGGTGAAAGGGTACAACCCTGATGCACACTTTTCCTGATTTTAAACCACACAGTATCTTACCGTTCTGTTCAAATGACTGCCTTTTGGTCTATGTACAGGTTCCGCCTGAGTGGTGTTCTGGAATTCCCATTCTTCACAGTGTTATCCATAATTTGTTAGATCCACACAGTTGAAATGTCTTGCATAGTCAAGACACAGGTAAACATCTTCCTGGTATTCTCTGCTTTTAGCCATAATCCGTCTGACATCAGCAGTGATATCCCTCGTTCTATGTCCTCTTCTGATCCAGCTTGAATTTGTGGCAGTTCCCTGTCAGTGTACTGCTGCAACTGTTTTTAAATTATCTTCAGTGAAAGTTTAGTTGCGTGTGATATTAGTGATACATTTGCTAATTTTTGCATTCTGTTGGATCACCTTTTCTTTGGAATGGGCACGAATAGGATCTCTTCCAGTCCGTTGACCAGGTAGCTGTCTTCCAGATTTCTTGACATAGATGAGTGAGCGCTTCCAACGTTGCATCCATTGCATAGTGGTAACGAGTGCATTCTGTGAAGTATGGTTTAGATATCTGGCTTTGAATCCTATCCTTGCCTTTTCTTAGCTGTGTAAACATCTCCGCACCTCAGTTTCCTCGGTTTATTGGGGATAATAGCACTTACTATTACTTTATAATATTGTGAAGTGTAGTTGAATGCATATAAGTGCTTAGATTTTGTCCTAAACCACCAGTTGCTGCCGAATCAGTTCTGACTCATGGTGACCCCATGTGTGTCAGAGTAGAACTGTGCTCCATAGGATTTTCAGTGGCTGATTTTTTGGAATTAGATTGCCAGGCCTTTCCTCCAGGGTACCTTTGGGTGGAGTTGAGCCTCCAGCCTTTTGGTTAGCAGCCAAGCCTGTTAACCTGTTTGCATCACCCAAGAACTCTAAACTTTGCCCCGTTAAGTCTTTTTGGTTTCAATTTAAATGACATTTACTTAAGAAAGTTTTGTTCTTTGTATTATTGTTAATGGCATCTCTACGGCTCAGACCTTCAGTCTCTATTTGTTTGTTGCAGTAATTCTTTTAAGAATTTTTATTTCTAACTGGCATATAATTAAAATTGAATATTACTGAAAAGTTTATAATGAGAAATAGCGGTCTCCAGCCCCATCCCTCACCTGTCCCCAGGCCTGCCCCCTTGAGCAGTGCTTCCCAGACCTTTTCACTTAAGGGCCTACTTGGAAAAAAAATGGAAGAGGCTGGGTTTCCTGAGTTCTTTAGGGGATCTTGGCACAGCTGAAACATTTGTGGCCCTGTGTGCCATGAAGACCAGATGGCAAACTCTGCTTCATGGATGATCACTTTCACTTCAACTCTTGGCTGTTTCCTTTAGTATTTATTTCTCTGTTTGTAAATAATAAGCTTAGTGTATCACTTAGAATGCTTTTAAACTCACATATTGAAACTCTGACCCAAAATGGCTTTCAAATAGGGGAACTTAACTCATACAATTGGAAGTCAAGAGGTAGATGGGCTCCAGGGCCAAATGATTCATGGCACGATAATGTCTTCAGGGTCCCACGTTTTTTCTTTCTCCCTTTAGGCATTGTTTGTGTTGGCTCCACCTTCAGGTTAATAAGGTGGCTGCAACAGTTTTAGGAATTGTATCCAGACAAAACAGTGTCCAGAGAAGCAAAAGAAAATTATTTTTCTTGTACCTATCTAAGAATGCGGAAGCCATGCCTAGAAGCTCTTAGGCTTGCTCTTGAACTGGGCATGCTTTTCCTGAGCACGTGCCTGAATGGGGTGGTTGTGTAAATGGGTTCTTAACAAAATGAGCTTCTGTTACAAAGGAATAAGAGGAGATTGGAGGCTGAGTAGATAACTCTGACCCTATCTTTGAATTTGACTTAAAATTTAAGACATTATCTGTTGATTTTATATTAAGGTAGATGAATGACTTTAAATAAACTACCTGCCTTACAATTTCTTTCTCCCATCTACTCATTATAAATGATTTCTTAGTTAAATCAATATTCAGTGTTTAATTATGACTATGGAAATTTTGTACACCATGGAGCTAATTGGTATACTATGATTCTTGTATAATTTTGTTTTTCCTGGAGTTAATAATTGTCTCTGTATTTCCATTTGCTTTGTTTTCTAGATACTTG